CTTTGAATTTATAGATCTGTTTATAATTCTTAGATTGATGATATTATTAAGCTTTATATGGAGATCACGTGTAAGAATAGTCTTGTTGATATAGATATTAAGATACCCGTTTTTGGGTCTTTATGCCTGATCTAATAACGCACCAAAGAGACATGACTTTGATTTTGAAGTCATGGTTTTGTTGGTTTTAGCTACCGTTAGTTTTGAGCAAGAAATCGAAGACAAAGGATTTAGGAGTAATAGTTGTGTGAATATGTCTTGTGAGTATTGGATCCTTGAAGATTTGCATCAAAGTTGGGAGCTTTTACCAAAAATAATTTGTAAATTTTATTAAAAGAATGAAGCTTTATCTATTTATATGCCCCCCTTGGTTGTCTTTTGTATTATTATTTTTGGAAGGAAAAAAGATATTGTTGTGGGGATATGTCTTTCTGCTAACTTTTTTTGGAAATATTCTTTGGGTTGTTTTAGCTTATTGTAGTTCTTGTTTATTGGAATTTCAGGTGATGATGATTTCTATGCTGGGGGGTCTTTTTATACAAATTCCACAGACTTGGGTAGATTATGTTCAATCAGTTCCCAAGTGGATGTGTACTGCCCTCCTCGTAAAAGAGCTCGTATTAATGCCCCATTTTTCTTTGGGGAAACTGAGCTTGAGCAGAATAAGCAACCATCAATCGATGTCCTTCCTGATGAATGCCTTTTTGAGGTCTTCAAACGCCTTCCTGGGGGCAGAGAAAGGAGCTCCTGTGCTTGTGTCTCAAAGCACTGGCTTATGCTTCTGACCAGTATTCGTAAGGGCGAATATGAGTCATCAAAGGTGGTCAAGGAGAATATTGATTCGGTTTCTGATGATGTTGAGATGATCTCATCTGATGAAGATGATGGGCATCTTACTAGGTGCTTGGAAGGGAAGAAAGCATCTGACATGAGGCTTGCTGCCGTTGCTGTTGGAACAAGCGGTCATGGTGGGCTGGGAAAGCTTTCTATTAGGGGAAGCAGCTCTTCACATGGAGTAACTAATTTTGGGCTATCTGCGATAGCCCGAGGTTGCCCTTCTCTCAAGGCACTTTCTTTGTGGAATGTCCCACGTGTTGGAGATGAAGGTCTGTCTGAGATAGCTAGAGAATGCTATTTGTTGGAGAAGCTTGACCTTTGCCAGTGCCCTTCAGTTTCAAACAAGGGTTTGATTGCAATCGCTGAGAACTGCCCTAATTTGACCGCTTTGAGCATTGAATCTTGCCCAAAGATTGGTAATGATGGCCTCCAAGCTATCGGAAAGCTTTGTCCCAAGCTGCAGTCCATATCTATCAAGGACTGCCCTCTTGTTGGGGATCATGGAGTTTCGAGTCTGTTGTCATCCGGATCTTCTGTCCTTTCAAAGATTAAGCTTCAGGGTTTGAACATCACAGATTTTTCTCTTGCTGTGATTGGGCACTATGGCAAGTCTGTGACAAATCTAATGCTCAGTGGTCTACAAAATGTGAGCGAGAAGGGATTTTGGGTCATGGGTAATGCTCAGGGTTTGCAAAAGTTGGTTTCTTTGATGATTACTTCTTGCTGGGGGGTAACAGATGTGAGTCTTGAAGCCATGGGAAAGGGATGCGCAAACCTGAAGCAGATGTGCCTTCGCAAGTGTTGCTTTGTTTCTGATGATGGATTGGTGGCTTTTGCCAAGTCTGCAGGTTCTCTTGAGTGCCTGCAATTGGAAGAGTGCAACAGGGTCACACAATCCGGGATTATAGGCGTCGTCTCAAATTGTGGATTAAAATCTCTTACCTTAGTAAAGTGCTTGGGAATTAAGGATATATCCTTGGAAGCTCCTTTATCCTCCCCCTGCAATTCCCTTAAATCCTTGGCTGTTAGGAACTGCCCAGGTTTTGGGACTGCCAGCCTGGCCATGGTGGGAAAATTGTGCCCTCAGCTCCAGCATGTAGATCTGAGTGGGCTTTATGGCATCACTGATGCAGGTCTTCTGCCTCTTCTGGAGAGTTGTGAGGCAGGACTTGTGAAGGTGATTCTGAGTGGTTGCTTAAATTTGACTGATGAGGTAGTTTTGGCCTTGACCAGGCTACATAGCGGAACCCTCGAGTTGCTCAATCTTGATGGTTGCAGGAGGATTACTGATGCAAGTTTGGTGGCAATTGCGGACAGATGTGTTTTCCTCAGTGATCTGGATGTGTCAAGGTGTGCAATTAGCGATTCTGGTGTTGCTGCCTTGTCTCATGCAGAGCAATTCAATTTGCAAGTACTTTCTTTTTCAGGTTGTTCCGGAGTGTCAAACAAAAGCATGCCTTTCCTGAAAAAAATGGGCAAGACCCTGGTGGGGTTGAATCTCCAGCACTGCAATTCAATCAGCAGTCAAATTGTTGAGCTGATTGTAGAAAGCTTGTGGAGATGTGACATCCTTTTCTAATCAAAGATAGAAGGCTGTTGAGCCTGATCTGAACAACTAAATTTATGGCATAAAAGATGGTAGAAATATCAAACTCATAGTCAGCTCACACGGGTAGCAACATTCATTACAGTTTTTTGGTCCAACAAAGTGGTCATGCTGGTTACTCTATGACTTGGTGTTTTCCTGGGGCTTTGGCTCTTTGGTAGATGGCCTATCCATCCCTATTTTTTGCAGGCTTTCTTGATGCGGGAATGTCTGTTGCAACTATCAAGCCCCCAGTTACCGGAGGCAGTTTCATAGCCATGGTTCCTGGAGAATTCTGTCATTAAGTTATGGTTTTATGTTTCCACTCATGATCATCATAGCTTTTGGTTCTAATTTGCTGGATGTATCACTACTCGGTGTTTTAGCTTTGTCATACAGTTCTTTATTAGAATGCTTGACTAAGCTTTCTTTGTTTTCAGTCCTATGGAGTCTGTTGTTTGGGTCAGTCCATCTTTAGTTTTAAGCTTTTTTTTAAGGGTCTTCCAGTTTTTTAAACTTCTGCAGGGGTCCTTCTGTGTTCCTTTTGTTGGTGTCTTTATAGTGGTTGCTTTGAGCAGTTCTATGTTTGGGTGCCGCAGATTGTTAGGCTTTGGCTATGGCAGTGGATCCATCTCATCTGCCATAACAACCTTCATTTTGGTTGTTTTTTTCATCCAAGAGTCCTAGTCTTGTAGGCTTTTCCTTGTATGTGAATTGTACAACTGCAACTACTCTGTTATAATCAATGAAGCATCATATTCCCTTTTTCTTATTTCGCTTTATGATTAATGATTGTAGAACCATGCTGCAACTATGGAACAAATTTGGAGCTTGAACGTGGTGATGAATATCTGAATTTTCTTTAAACGATAAAATTTAAACTAATCTCTTTTGTTTTGGAAAGCTAATGTGACAAACTAGCAATTCCATCAAAAGCCAATCACAACTAAGAAACATCCTGATTATTCTGCAGTATGAAAGATTTGCCTCGTGAGGTTTTAACCTAAAAAACATTGTTAAGCCGTACCCATTTCTCAGACGGTAGATATGTATATAAAAAATTGTCCAGGCCTACCCTGCCCCCTTGTTGGGTTCGACTCCTCTCCACTCTCCTCTCTATTTTGTCCAAATAATGACTTCTGATTTACTTCACTGTCAAAGGAGGCTGTGCCTGTATAATTAATTTTATTATGTCTGTTTATTCCATCATAATCCAGACTTTGTTGGGAGGCGATTTGCTTTGAGATTTGAGAATACATGCTGCTACATATTATCCATTATCTATATTTTCCATTCCCAGATGGACAGTTGGATACCATATATAATAACGTAGTACTAGTATAATTCTTTCATTACCGTGTTCTATATTCTTCAATTATAATAGGCAAGTTTTATTTGAACAACTCTGATAAGATTTGCAGGGATAGTCTTAAACTTTGTTAAGCTTAAGCTTCTTTCATGATGATATAAGAGTCCATTCTTTCACATTGATAATCCCGATAAGAGGATTAAAAATCAATTAAGTAGAAATGAATATTTAAATGTAACAATGACTCCCTTGAAATTTCTTACATCTCAACTTGCCAGCAGCGGATCCAAGGAAACGGAAGAAAGAAATATAACCCAAGAGTTTCAACTAGTGTTCAATAGAAGTGAGTTTTTGACTCTTTGGGTGGTAGCGGATTATTAATTGAGCTAATTGGAGCAGACAGATTGAGACACAGAGGTGTGGCAAAAATGCGTCAATCAAAAGGACAAAAAAATAAAAAGTGCTGTTGGATGGAGATAATGGAGAGGCAGTGTTCCAACTCTTCCCATGATTCCCAAGTTGCAGCGGTCAGTTCCTCAGCGTGGTCCATGGTTGCGGCTCGAGGGAGGTGCATATGCCAGCATCAAGAAAAGTATATTTTTTTGTTTGATTTCTTCCTTTGTTGAAGTCATGGGAAATGAACAAAGGAAAGAAGTCAAAGAGAGAGACATGGAAACTTGAATCAAAGTAAATATATTGCCAACTAATGTTCCTGGATACTGGAAGCAATCTTTTATCCGTGTATATATACAGTATATACTATATAATAAGAAATCGAAATCACTGTTTCAGAACCTTCGTTCTCGAGACCTGTAAACGGTATGACGATGTCGAGCTGATCACTCACTTTCGTCTTGAAAATTAGTTCCCTTTACACCGAAAGGATAGAAAATCTCATTCACAACAGTACCATAGCTGCACCAAGAATAATCATTTCATGCACTGTTTAAAAGAAAAACAAAATACAGTGAATATTTAGGCATTTGCATCTTATGAGAGACCATTTTTGTGCTTTAATTTGGATAGTTACTTAGTATGAATAAGGCCTCATATCACTATATCAGTAGGAAAAAGAGAAAAGGAATGTTACTGTTAGCTTTCCCCATTAATAATGAGAGATAGCAAGAGAGGCAATGCATTAAAATTTATAATTTAGAGCTGCATTAATGTTTATGGCACTAGAAGTAGAATAAATATAGCAGATACAAATATCAGCACCGTTCGAAAGAGAAAGGGAGAGGGAGAGAGCGAGAGACAGCAGATTGCAATGAAAGAGCTTCCTAGTTTACAATATAAGGATGCTAATGCCTAAAAGTAATAGGGCGATCGAGATTCTACACCACGAAGTTATAAAATGTAAGCTGACAAGTTTAAGGCTATAACTTTATTTACATCAATCTTTACTCAAGGTTGGAAGAACTTATCTCCACATTTGCATTTCCAGGCCAGCAGATAATAGCTTTCATCACCTTGATATGTAGAACTTCGACCGTTTCTATGGTGGGGAGAAGCAACTAAAGCTGCCATGCAAGGTCTGCAACTGAAGCACCTGTTGACACACTTGGGAGGCCTTGAACCCAGAACCATTGTCTCTTGCTTGGAACTGTCATTAGCTGTTACTGCCAAAAAGTTATCCAGGAATAAATGCTACACCGATTAACAACACAACATAGAATCTTGCTGTGTAGAAATGATCAGCTTGAGTAAGTTTTAAATGCATGTCTTTTCTTTTTTTTTTACCTGATCTGGAGGGGGAAAATGCAAGGTAAAAGATGACCATAACGCTGACTGCAATCTTTAGCTCAACTGGGTGGTGTTTGAACGAAGCCATCAGTCTTGTCTAGGAGTAGTAAAAAAGAGAAATATGAATTGCAGCAGCAGCAGCATAGAGTTTAGGCAGCTTGTTTTGATTGTTTCTCAAGGAAGGAATTGAGGAAAGACAAGTTAATATTAAATGCAAAGCGGGGAAGATGGGTTTTGCCTGTAAAAAGAAGCATCTCTCGTCACTCAAAGAAAAATACAATGCATCCCTGATCAGAATTTGAGAGGGTCCCATAGAATAACTTTAAAAAATTTTTGAAGTCTCTCCATCAGGAAATAGTTACTCTGTCTTCGTGTCTCAGGGTGAATTGACTGAAGTTACATCTTCTTTCATCTTTTGTAAGCTGACTTGACTCCCCTCTGCTATTTTTTTTTTTCAAATCGTTGAAACGAAACCTCTATCTGATTTGAAGATTAAAGAAATATAAGTACTAAAACCCACCATTTTGCTTTGATTTATGGATTGTTTAATTCATGGTAACAGCAAATAAATGGATACATCGATCTAAATAGAAATGCTCCAATCCAAAATTATTTTCCTATATTCCGTGGTGAGACCAAGCCATGTCTTAGTAATAGCATTTAATTCGCATGGAAAGTGGAAAACCAAAATCTAAAAAAGCCTAAAACTAGAGGCTCAATTAAGGTCTCAAAGCCTCCCAAACTTGGGTTTGGCATGGATACAAATTAGGTCTTCGAGGAAAAGTCGGTGTCCCTCAACACAATTGGGCAGAAAAAGTCCTAATAACCTAATTAAGCTATACCTACGATCCAGGACCAGCTGACTCCATTGCTAATATGCTAAGAGACTGTACGTGGTTCCACTAAAAAATAATTCAGCTCATAGCCGAACATTAGGACCGCAATTTTATCACATACATCTTATGATTGATGTATATATGGATGAAGCAAATAATCTTTAAGAGAATATCATACAGCCGGATTTTGAAATTTATTAAATATCTCAAATTTTATTCGAATATTTGATTTAATAATTAATACATATATTTTTTTTAAACCGAGCTTTCTGTTAACTAAATCAAATCGGTGGAAAAAGCTGAGCTTTTGTTACAACACAAGAGCAAGTTAACAAAGTGGATGTCAGAAGGATGAAGGGCTTTAATTTATGGATTATTTATTCTACATTGGATCAAAGTACCAATACTACTTAATTCACACTGGCTTTCGGGAAAGGGTTCGAAAATACAACAAAATCTGAGTGTTGGCGCTGCCAATGTCACATACATGTCTTCTTAGGAAACAAAACACTAACAAAGTAGAGACCAGACCTCGCATATCTTCCGGACAACATCAAGTGACAAAAAGAAAATCAAATTCATTGTCATAGTTACTGACTAGCTCCATGTTTATATATATAATGAAGGGGAGTTTCAAAATACTTTAGTTACTGTTAAGAGATATATTGGTTGTTGAAATGGTTGATATTGATAAAAGATATGTAAACCGACTTCTTGTTAGGGGTTTCAAAAAAGGTTTTGTTGTTGTTAAATGTTATCTTAATTTTTTTAAAAAAATTATAGTTATAATCTAGTATTATATTTATATAATTATTAAATAATTAGTTAGCAACTTAAAATATAACTAAAAAATCAAATTTATATAATAAGACATGAATCTAAAATTTCAAAACCCTTCTCCTTACCACTAAGACAAAACTTGGTATCTCAATATCAAATTTGTGTGCATGTATGTATTTCTTGTTATACAACCGAACCCGTAAATTTTTTTTTATTATTGTAGTTAAATTAAGGAAGAAGCATGAATCCAAGATCTTCTAGTATCTATCTCAGTATTATTTTTGATGATTTTTTTTTTTTTTTTGCTTTTATTTTGGTTGCAAGTTAAAACCCAAAATGCCAGAAAAGTCAGAAGTGGCACAGATTTCCCTTAAATACTAAAGAATTCACAATATCAGAAGGCTATTTAATGATAGACATAGGAAAAAATGCAGACCACATGGCTGATACCTTCTGAAGGGTATTCTACAGGTAGCCCTGTTGGCTATAATAGTAATAGTCTAGTACAAGTTGCTTCTGCTAACTCCAAATGTTGCTTGTTTGACAAATGTTGGTCATAACCTTTTTTCAACGAGGGCAAATGGCGATTTCTAAGGAAAAACAAAGATAACAAAAAATTATGCAACCTGACTGACTTTCAAGTTTTGAAGATTCTCTTAAACATACCCGCCAACTGTTGCAACGGACGCGGTAGAGCTATTCATCCAATAATTATAGATTAGAAGTCTTTGTAGTTGAAACATGTTTTAAATTCAACTATATTATTATATTTATATATTATCTGATTGGAGTATGGGAACAGCGTTGCCAGCAGTAGAAAACAGTGCTGAAGATTGCTGCTAATCTAGTGAACCGCCAATGGTAGTACATAACAGTGAAAAGAAAACTGAAATGAAATCCAAGGAGTGACGAAGACGGAGGCTCCACTTGCGGCCAAGACATTAACACGTGATCCTTTCCTACAAAAAGATCTAAATGCAAGGGTAATGGGCCTGCCTAGGAGAAAAGAAGTGGGGGAAGAGACAAACATATATCAACATGGAGTAATAAATTCTTTTGGTCCTGCATCTGGCAATGACTTAACGATCCAAAACTCGGAAAACTATATGTACGCAGCAGACAATTTTATAGCAAGACGGCAGGTTGGTGAAGCTTAGCAGTGGAATGGCTTCCTTGGGCCCTACTGCTCCCTGATTTGCATCACATCGACACAAAAGGGATCAGCAAGTGATTGTTCTATGAAGACTGGGATTTGGAAGACCCTCCTTTGGTTTCCAGATGATATTTTCTAGTTTAGCACACAAGTTCTTGTAGAACTGCAAAAAGGAAACACAAGTAGTAGATCAATAATTTGCTGATTGGCATTCATTGAAAATTTACTGCGATATCAAATATGAACATGCTAACATACCTGTAAAAAACAAACACTAGGACAAGTCAATGAGCAATTAATTGCCTGCCTTGTCCAAGTCAGAAAAAAAGTTTTAGCAAAACTGTAAGGCGAAGATTGGTGTAGCCCGTAGGGTTGGCAGCTAAGAAACAAGACTAGCCACATGCATATTGTACGATGAAATAAGAAAATTACAAAGATGAATTACTAGAAACTAAAATGACTCCGCCATAGGAAATTTACCGCAACGAGTCGGGTCGGATTTTTATTTGTCATAAATTTAATTTGATTTTATAAATTTAATATTTGAATTTAATTTAATATTAAAATATTATTTTTAATATTTAAATTTGATTTAATATGTATATGCTAAATTCCTAATTAATTTAATCAGACTTAAAATTAATAAAAATATTAATTTTTAAAATAAAATATTATTTTTAATTTAAAATAAAAAATTAAATAAATAATAAAATATAAATATAAAATTAAATAAATAATAAAAAATAATATATACCGGACAGATCGAGACGGATGAAATGGGTTTGTATAAACCCGACCTCAATTCTTTTTAAATATTTAATTTGATCCAAAATTCAATTTAAAAAAATGATCATTTAAAATAAGTCAGGTTAGAATCCATCGAATATGGGATTTAATTACCAACCCTATCCTTGTTGCATAAAACAAACGAGAGAAAATGTTAGAAAGAGACGTTGCAGTCTCATGCAAAGAAGATCGATAGCACCGGCATAAATGGTGCAAGGTACATGTTGAAATCGAAGAAGATGAAAATGGCTCAAAGGAAGGCAACTAAGATCATGAGAAAACACAGCAGTATTTAGCCTTTTACAAGAGCATAACGAAAATTAAATTCCTCTAACAAGCCAAAAATGTAGCATTTGGATGACCAATTTGTGAGAATTGACACTGTAACCCAATTCCTATTTTTATTTAATTTCTGTTGCATGTAGCCCATAATCAATTTTAAGGTTCGAGAGACCTAAGACTAACACAATGACAATAGAAGTGTAGCACAATATTCTAAAATATGAGGATCAAGACACATGCAACCTTGTGATATTCAAGAGTTATCTTCAGCAGCTTTTCAAACATCTACCATGAACAGGGATGTTGCAACTTCAAAAACCTATATAAGAGACATAAAACTAACTTCAAAACAAAAGTCAGATTGAAATTCACCTGCCAATATAAACAAGCATTACTTACCAAATCATAGAAAAATTCTAGGCATCTACCTCCAGGACAACCGCAAATTGCCCAACCTGATTTCCAGATACTCCCTCAAGTCTTGTCGCAGTCAGAAGGATCAAATTTTAAGGAAAACAAAATAATATAAAGATAGTACACTTATACACAGATGTTCTTTAGCACTATGAAACATGGCCACCCAATCAAACCATTGGGAGTGACCCCAACATCACTTGCATTGCTAGGAACAGAAAGAAGCTTAATTAACCTAGACAGTGTTATTTCCTCATTAAACCTTTTCCATACATACTAATATTAGGCAAAGTGAATGAATACATTTTGTATGGATGCTTATCTTATGCCGATGGTATTACATTCACAGAATTATTTCTGAGAGTGTCGTTGAGAAGTATTCAAGATCAAAATTAACTAAGTGCCTACTACAGAGGAGCCATTCAAGGGCTTCTTTATCAGCATGTTAGCATTCCTAGGTAGTTTTTATTTACTTTAGAAGAAAAGTAAATAATAAAATAATAAAATGGGGAAATGAACTATTTCCCTAAAAAGATAAATTGCTCCATTTTGTGGAAAAGTCTCTAAAGCTATGTTGCTCTGACTCTTCATTTTCCTTAAAGTGACCGTGTCGAGGTACAATCCTCCCAATATATGAAAAAACTTAGAAAAAATTGAGCATACCCATGTCGGATATATATAAATATATATATATGCCCATATCCAACACTCATCCCCAAGTCCGACTGTCCGAGTAACATAGCTCTAACTAAAGCATACCACTACTGAAGAGCGACCTGCATTTTGTCAATAAGATATGTTTACAAGTCATACCATGTAATTACCTGTATGAACCTTGTGATGCATTGATTCTGCAACAGCTTCAACACTTGAGATTATAACTCTTGCTGGTTTGTGTGATACAAAACGAGTTTGCCGTTTAACATAACCCTGCCAAAGAAAAAGCATGGTTGAT